TTTTAATTTAAATTATACTTGTAGTAATAAATTAATTTAAAATTAACTTTAGGTTCTAATAACTACTAAAATAAGTTTTACTTTTTTAGTTAGTATATATATATATATATATATATATATATATATATATACATTATAGATGTAGGTTTTGTTTTTTAATCTAAATCATTGAAATAGAAATAACAGATTACATATAAAATTTAATTATTGATTAATCATTGTTCTTGTCTGTTGAAAGCTGGCATTTTCTTTATCTACAATGTCACTTCCAGTTAATAGTTTTATTTGTTCTTGTTGTTTTGGAAAATTCAGTTCTGATAGTCTTCAAGCTTGTCTTAAACAGTTTTATGCCAAACAAGAAAAAAAAACATTGTTTAAAGATTACTCTTCCATTGCACAAAGGAAGAATATATATATGTTTATTGCTGGAATTGGTACTTTAGGTGTTTGGTAATTTTAGAACTCTAGTTGTCAGCATCAAAAATTTGTTAAAGATGCAATCTAAAGAGTAGATGTTAATTTTATATGATGCTTAATTTTATTTTCTCATGTAAACCTAGAGAGAAGTGATAAATTTTTAAAAAACAATTAATTTTTTATTAAGACATTTTAACATATTCCAAGAATTTTTTTTTCTCACTAGAGAGAATTAGAATTAAAGTAAGATAAATGTGCCTAGCACAAATTTAAAAAAAAACAGTTAATAATACAGTTAAAAAAAACTTAATTGGATGCTTGTATTAAAAAAATATAATTTTTAACTAAGAAATTAACTTTGAGCTAGAATGTTTTCTCTGTTTTGAATCAATATTATAACCTATATAAAGGTTTCAAATGCTCAACTTTAATTCTCAATACTAACATAGGTCATATTTTTTAATGGTGATATATTTTTATTTAGGACGTTGCTACATTATACCAATGTGTAAGTAATACAATGCTTCAGTAAACACAAATTACTATTCGATGCAGAAAGTTTATTTATATATTGGTTGTTTGTGTGTTGTTTTTTTTAACTTTTTAAACCCATAATCTTTTGTGCATTCTGCCGGAATTATTTTCATGATTTCCTAATAATTATCACCGTAGCTTATAAACTTCTAATTTTCTTCAATTGTGGATAATAACATAGTTTGGATTAATTTTCAGCCAAGGGACATAAATGTTATGTGCTGTCACTGTCCAATGGTTAAATCAGGATTTTTGGCGGGACGCTTGGAGCGTCTGCTTGGGTTTAAGGAGTTGAGTAAGGGAAATTTTTTAGCACTAATCATTATCGTGGGAATATGGTAAAAAAATACGAGGTAAACTAAAAGTAGCTACATAATACAATGAATTATGAATGAAATGATTACATGCTTCTAGTGGTGGTAGTTTTTGATATAAAAAACTAAGACTGATTTAATTTCACTTTCATGTTGTTGTTTTCTTGTCTTATAACTGAAATGAATTTGTTCTGTTTATTTGCTCCAAGTAGTCATGTTTTGTTTTTATCACTCATATGTAGATTTTTTCCTTGCAGTTATGATGTTAGGACAACAACTAAATATCACTTATCACTGTTCTAGAAGATATGAACAATTCAAAACTTGTCACTTTGTGCCTACATTAGAATACTGTATAAAGCCTCCTAATCTCAGTTAATATATAGAGCAAAGCACTTTTCCAAAGTTATCAAAAATACTATTTTCTGTAACTAATAATGTGTTGGTTTGGAAAATTATTTATTCGTTGCTTGTTTGTAACAATTTGAATCCTTGTAAATTGTTTCATTTTAGGAATTTGGTTTTGTAGGTGGGTGTAAATTTTATGTAGATTGTTGTTAAAACCGTTATTGCTAATAACTGATAAGCGTTTGTTGGAATTAGTCCATGCAGGTTATTTAGAGGCCCTCATGTAAAAAATATATCAGAATGAAATTTAAATTAGCCTTATCTGAGATACTGTATCAAGTATTTCACTCAGTTTCTAATCTTTTTTTCTGTTATTATTAGCGACGTTTTTAAAATGTGACTTTTGGTGATTGGGATTAAATGAATAGAATATCCATTGTTCTTTCAATCATAGTTTTCTCTCATCTATGTAGCACTCTTAACAAAATTAATATTAAATACCTTGATTGATAGAAAATTGATGGCCATTTTTCTTTTAGATCTGTAATCTTGATCTTTTTCTTTTTTTAATGTGTTATTTTTACCTAAATTTTTCTTTGATTCCTACCCAACAGATTTGGGCGTTAAATGGAAACCTGTTAATGTGTCCCCAGCACGTTGTCCTACTCCTTTTCTGGCTATCCTAAGTGTGAGTGAATAAATGTAATGTTTAAATGCATAGTTTTTGTTGTTGTTCCAAGCTACTATTTTGTTTGGAAGATGTTTTTGAGGACCTGTTCATACCTCTTTAAAAGTACTTTTTCAGCCGTTCAGGATTGAATTTTTCACGTTACTTTTCATAATTCTCCTATAAGGCTTAAAATGATATTACACATACTAGTTGTCTTTAACATATATCATAATTGTTTTACTTCGATTTTATATACCGATTATTTTTTCCACATTTGTACCATTCCAATGTGTCAAAAGTGCATAATATAAAAATTTTGTTATTTGAACACATTTCAGGATCTATTTCTAATATTGTCATTAACAGAAACGTAAATGTCACAAAGTATTTGTTCACCATATCTACTTTACACAAGAGGTGCTTGTACGATTGGTGTTGGGCTCTCTTTCAAGTTCCCTCCAGTCTGCAAATTTACAATGCTAGAAATCGGGTTTCGATACCCATGGTGGGCAGAGCACAGATAGCCCATTGTGTAGCTTTGTGCTTGACTTAAGACAGACAAACAAACAATCTCTTTCAAGTTTTGAAGTAGCTGAGAAAAAAGTTCGAAATGATATATCAACTGATGGCAAGGACTTGCTAATCAACGTTTCGAACCTAGGCATGCTTCAGGTACAATTGTGTGAAGTAGGCTTATGGCCGAAACGTTGTACTGTAAATTAATTTTTGATAAGTTACCACTCTCACTTGGCGTTCACTTAATGCATCATATTAGGTTGTTTTACGTTCTCGTCTGTCATAGCATTCATTTTCTATGTAAGGAACATTATTAATAATTAGTGGATTAATTACAATATTGATGGTTTTTTTTTGTGTGTCATAAGGAACCCTGTGATCAGCTGAGGCTGTGGCCCCATAAGTAATGAATGCATAGGACGAAAATTGTTTTATAACACCTTTGGGGTGTAAAGGACCTTGTGATAATTCTAGAGTTAAAAGTGTTTCAATTGCAGAAGCAAGTGTAATTCAGGGTGTTTCTACTTCATTAGGATACATCACGCGTGCACACACAGTATAGATTTGTTTGCCTTCAAAACCTGAGTGTGTTCTTCCAGTACGTTAATGTCATATGTAACATGTATAAAACATTACAATATTTATGGATCATATTTAATATTCATCCTGTAATATATTTATTCTGTATCTATTATCAAACTAATGTGAGCCCGAGTGGATAGTGTGCCGGACTGTAGATTTAAGAGCCATGATTTGCGTCCCATTGTTTCAGAAAAAAAACACGTTTGGTACTTTAGGGCCATGGGTGCGAGTCATGGTCAATAGTTGACAGTAGGTGATGTTGACTAGCTGCCTTCCCTCTATTAGTTCAGTATTAGGGAAGACTAGTGCAAATACCCCTTGTGTAGCTTTGCATGATTATCATCTAGTGTCACTGGAAACAAGCGTGTTAACTAGAAGTGTATCTGTAGCAGAAAAGTTTTGGACTAATATCAAATGTTTCATTTATCTCAAAATAACGGACGTGGAGATTTTTCTCTACCTGAGAGTCTAATGTCTATCATATGGGCGCTTCTTAACTGTTTTAAGATAGATTTTTTCCCCAGGGCTGTAGAAAGGAGGTAGGTTTAGGAGATCCCCTCCCGAAATTTCTTTTGTCCCGACCAAAAAAGGAAGGAAAAGAGTCAATTTTTTCCCCAAAGCATACCATATTTGTGTTAAAGGCGTACTTGTATATTTTGTATTACACATAAATATTTTTCGAGTATTATATGTTACGATGCTTTATTTTAAGGTATTTTTTAATGGGCTTCGCAATCAAAATGTTAAAAAAATCGGTTAATTTTTCCAAAAAGGGAAAATACCCAGAATATTAAATATAAAACAAAAGTGGCAATGTTTGGGGGGGGGGGTATATTTCTAGCCATATCTCTCCCGACCTGAAATCCTGGCTATGGCATTGTTTTTTTTTTCCTTTAAAAATGTTCTTCAATGGTTGTTCTTTTGTACAACAGTAGAAGAAAACGTGTTAGTAACTAATTAATTTATTGTTTATCTTATGCATATGAACATTTTTTGTGGTTAAGAGTTTCAGTTATATTCTTTATATTGTCCGCATTCTTTCAAATTCGTTATTTAATTTAACGACACATTAGACATCGCGAATGAGAAAAACTTACTTTCTCAATCAGATTCTCATCTTTACAATTGAGAGATCAAGGCTTGTTAAAGAAATTTATTATGATAGTTTGAAAAGAAGCTTATGTTTTAACGAAACAAACAATTCCAACTGTGTTCTTTGATATGGTTTTAAAAAGTGAGTTTGTTGTTTTTGAAATGGCATGCATTATTATATAGGTGGGCCGATGAGACTTCATTGCTGAAGAGAATACTTTCAAACTAAGGATTATTGAGATTACAATAACTGCCATAGGAAGAGATTTGGTATGTTGATAATGTAGGAAATTGCAACTTTTATGTTGTGCAAAAATTACAGCCAAAGCTATGTGATTGATATTGTAACCGGGAAATGTTAAGTTACTATTTATTGTATGTACCTAGTTTAGACTGACTACTACAATGTCTTTGTTACATTTGTAGTTTAGGCCCCCCCCGTCATGCCGAGCAGTCTGTAAGGGAAACCCCGCGTCACACGGGATCCAGGCTAGTTCAGGTAGGTGAATCGAAATGTGGAAGATCACCTAACAATTAGTATTGTAATACATTGCAGGGACGTAATTATTGCCATGTCTTTTATGCCTCCACGCCATATAGTAATGATGTAAATTTGAGAAAACTATCTAAAAGTTCAACAACAGTTTTTTTTAGTTCCGACTTCTTATCCCTACGTTATCAAAGTTGTCCAGTTGAGCTAAGTTATTTGCAATATACTAGATATGGTAAAGTTTTTTTTTTTTTTACTATTCCTGTACCCATTGACGATTATTCGGTAGCAAACGGTGTTGTGCTGTCTTGAGGATAACAAATCATGTATGCAGTATATAAAGGTTTGTTGTTGTTATTTCTCCATGGGTGATAACAAATCATGTATGCAGTATATAAAGGTTTGTTGTTATTTCTCCATGGGTGATAACAAATCATGTATGCAGTATATAAAGGTTTAATTGTTGTTATTTCTCCATGGGTGATAACAAATCATGTATGCAGTATATAAAGGTTTAATTGTTTTTATTTCTCCATGGGTGATAAAGCATATTCAGTAAATGGAGGGAACGGAATATATCTTTCTGAAGAAAAATGTAGTCGTATGTATATCTTAGCCAAGTCTTAACGTTGTCATCCAAAGTAAAGGTAAACAAAATGTTAAACATCTTTAAATATTAACATGTATTAGCAATCGTATTTAACTCATCTTTTATGACTTTTGTTAAACATTTCCATTAAATCATTAGTAGTGAATCTATATTCAAAAAGCATGGAAAAATGAGAACTTGGGTTTAAACGCGTAAGAAGCTCCGTCCTCCAGGGTGTTCAAGTACTTGTAACTAATAGATTTTATACCTCCTACAAGTTAAATTCACACACTCGTTACTTTTTTGTAAACATGCTTGATTTGTAACGGGTTTTTCAGTATCCTTTGTACCCTGCACTAAAACTGTTTTATAGAAAGCCATCATTAAACATATCCTGTCTTCATAAGCAGGTTTACCACTAAAACAGATCTTGTTTAAGTGTTAAAAATTAATAAAGTGAAGTATCATTGCAGAGGTCTAGTTGTACAATAAGTTATTTGTCATTAGTATTTCACGTAATGTGGTGTTCAGAATAACTTATAAAGTAATGTAATATAGTATTTGAAATGTTGCTGTTGAATGAATGCAGGAATACAATGATTTGGGGATACCGTTTACATCTTGATTGTAGTTTATATATAATTAGGGTTGTCCTGGTGGAGCTGTTCATTACGAGAAATATATATATATATATATCGATTTACACATGGTATTGGTGTATGCTTCCTGAAAGCGTTTTGAGACAATAGAAACTATTCTGATTATGACATTAAACATCACAAGATCTCTTATTTTCAACATTTTTTTTTATTAGTGTTATGTAATAGTAGCAACTGTTTGTGTGGCATCAGTGTGTATTTCTGTCTAGGTTATTATATAACTGCATGTTTTGGAACATCGTTTATTTCACAAAATTATGTAAAAATAACCAGCACTAAAAACTTGCAGGAATTTTTAACAACTCTTACAGGCGTTCAACATAGTTAAATCCTATACAACTGTTAGTAATAAGTCGAGGTTTCACTGACACGTTTTAAACAACATTCAGTTTCAGGTACGGAAGAATTGGAAATAGTTAATGGATTGCATGTTCAGAATTTGTTTGAATGAGAGTAAAATTTTGTATTTTAAATAGTTATGCAGAATTATTCGTATTAGTTATACAATGCAAGCTTAATTAAGCCTGTTTATTTTGTGGTTTACATTTTTAGGATTTAGCTTTTATTTAGATCCAGGTGTTGCCCAGTGATTATTGTGCCTGACTGTAGATCTGTTATTCCAGTCTTTTCGTCAGTAATAGCAAACAAAAAAACGCACATTGTATTCCTGGGTGCGTTATAAGGGTGACGTTGAAATCCCACTATTCGGTTAAACAAGAATGGCTGTAGGATAGTGTTGGCTAGCTGCTTTCCCTCCAGTCTATCAATTCAAAATTAAGGATGTCTTTCAAATCGTGCTATTGGGCAGAAATCAGATCCAGCCACAAGAATCGCTTTAAACATTTTATAGTTCATACTGTTCAGTCATCAGTGTTTTTATATAAACGTTGAACTGGTAATATGTTCGATAGGGTCATTTGGTTGTGTTACAAATAAACTTGCTTATTTTGAATATGTACGTTTTTACCACGTGAATGTTAGTTGTCTTTTATAGGTTCTAAATGTGTCATTTCTTTAGTCAAATAATACGTTGTAGGCACATGGAGAGACTCGGTTCTGAGTATTCTTGATTTTTATTAAATTAACATGAAAAGTGCAGCTCACGGTTCCAGTATCGTGTTTGATTTGCCTTCTACCTGACCGAGTAAAGGTAACAACAACTGGTAGGGCACCATTAAATTACAGCCTGTGATAAGTCAAGTTTACGAATTAGAATATTTTACTCGGAGAATATAAGTAATCAGGCATGTTGCTGGTAGTCACTTACCAGGAATCCATATGATTCAAAATGTATAGTAAGGACAGTTGATTTTATATCATTAGACAAGGTATGTTAACGAAACCTCTCAAATGCTGTACCATGCTAAACTTATCAATGTTTGTTTTCAGACTAAAAGAGAATATTAAAGATCTTATTAACTCATCTTACAAGCTCTTTTGTGTTATTTCAACTCAATCAGCTAATCTACAGTGGACAAGAATTCGGTAGGAACAAAACTTAACTAAGTACTCAGTTTTTCCTTTACCGTTTCGGTCAGTAAATTTTTAAATAAGTTACTCCAACAATACACAATACCCTCAAATTTCTATATATAAAGTGACATTATCTTATTTATTACTAGCTGGAGTACCCGGAGGGGTGAAATAAAAACTCGTTTGTAACAAAGGATAGGAAATTGTGCTTCTATTTTTTCTTTCTTAACACAACAAATATTAAAGTGCAATAAAAATACATAAAGGTACCAATACTGAAAAGTAAGACACTGTTTTCAAGAATTCTATCAATATGAAATTAGAAGGGGGTACCCCCTCATGACCTTCCTCTTATCATCCTGTATCACTTTGTCAAGTTTGTTGCTGATTGATCAAGAAGTGTGGAAACGCACAAGGAACAGATGAACATTGACGTTTATTTATATAGCTGACATTTACTTATTTTTGGTTATAATTTTTCAACAACAGAATATTCAAACTTTGTTAATTTACAAGGAAGATAACTCTTTCTAATAGCAACACTTTACAGTTTAGATCGATGTGTAAAACACAGCAGAAAAAATTATTTCAATATTTTTATTTTTTTTCAATATGTATTAGAAAATCCACAAGCACTATAGTGCACGTGCATCTTTATAGAAGATGTGTGTTGATATTATGATTAGTTTTACAAAATCATATAAACATCGAGACAAATGTAACATGTAGGTTGACCAAACTATGACACCGGATTATTAGGGATTATTTTCAATTTTAAAAATTTTAGTAAACGTATTAAAAGTTTGAGAGTAGTATTGAAGGTAAAGTAAATTCTCTTAGTAATTTTTTTTTTATCAAATACTAACTAACTATAAGCATTGTACATTTTTGTTCTTTTAATTTCATGTGCATATAAAATAGCTAGAAACTTTTCATATTACAAGTTTTTTTGAAACTGATGAATATACATTCAATCACAAAACTCTTCAAGACTGCTATGTTGAAATTTGTGTTCATGGCCAGATGATTAGGGTGCTGGACTGGCAATATGCGGATTCTAATCCCCGTTCCACTCAATATGCTTTCCTTTTCAGCTATGGGGTGCGTTATTATGAGACGGTCAATCCCACTAATCGTTGGCAAGAGTTGGCGTTGGGTGGTGATGACTAGCTGCCTTCCCTCTAGTCTTTCAGTGCTAATTAAATTTTAGGGGCGGTTAGCACAGATAGCCCTCGTGTAGGTTTGCGCGAAATATAAAACCAGTGTATTGTGTTACGTTAACTTTAATTAGACAAAAAACTAAAGTACTTATCTACTAATAAAGAAACCCTGAAGTCGAAATTCGTGGAATTCATAAGTAAGAAATCTGATGCGTGTTCACCAATCATAAGTCAGGTTCTAAACTTCTCGTAAATGTGACCGCTTCCTAACAATTCTAGCCTTGTTATATAATTAACTACGACTTAGTGGTGTGAAGAATTAATCGATCACAAAGGCGCTGCTTTTCTTTACCCAAGGAAATACTGTATGTATGTTTAAACTATAAATACACATTGATGCAGTAAGACTTAAACCTGTTCAGCCCAAAAGAATAAAGAAAATACGACGTTATTCATTTCTTTGGATTGCAGAAAGATAATCAAAATTGCATCGTCTAAATGTTTAAAAATGATGACGCATTCACGAAATTGTAATATTGTCGACAAATTTATCAGTGAACTGGGTTTTATTATTTTGCATGAATTGTTAACACCACGCCAGTAAACGAAGAACGTCGTCAAAGATAGTTATATTTCGATTTTCGTAAGACTTAATCTATGTAACGCTACTCCCTATGTTAGAAATTCAGCCAAAAGAATAATGAGTTCCTAACCGTATAGACCTTAGCTGGAGATATCTTCGTCTTAATATTTCAACTATATACGGCTAATACTATTTCCTGTGTTTTAAATTTTAATATAGGTTGTATAAGGTTATTTGTGTAACATATAATGGTCCTAAAGAGATGTTAGCTCCTAGTTAAAGCAATCCAAGTTTCTGTCATTAACTGTATCGAAAACTTTTATTTCTTACATAAAATTCAGTGAAATTTTACAATAATGCCCATTCATACACTTGACTGTTTTACACAACCATAGAAATGGGGAGTTTCAATCAAATATTTTAAATGCTGATGGTCTAGACTAGATAAGTTGCATAAGAGCTTATTAACATGCAACTGAAGTAACAACATGTTTTCAGGAATGTCACTTGCCAAAACGTTCATGCAAACTGTAATATGATACACATTTAACAGGAAAGCCTATGGTGTGATATACAGCATTGGCTCCCTTTCGATAAGGTTAGACTGAAGCAAAATGTTACCGAAATAATCTTTATTGTATGTCGAGGCTTGAAAATAAGTTTGGTTTAATTTTTTTAAATGTAAAACAATCTTTGTATAATATGAAGGAAAAAGTTTAGCTGACATCAATAAAAAACACTATAAAAATAAATATTTGCTTAACTTTAGATCAGTTGTTTGTTTTGAAAAATCCCTTGTTCAAATAAAATATTGCTACCTTTGTTAATTTAAAACTAAAGTTACGAAAACAGAATTTAGGGTGTATATTTTTAATGTTTAATTAAGCTTTTAATGTAACACCCAAATTTATAAGAGATCGTTATTAGTTGTTACTGCAAATTTCGCAGCATAATAAGAAGGGTGGAAATTTCAGTTGTGTTCTGAATCAATCGATGATGAAGTCAGTCCTAAGCTGTCATCATAGTTGTAATGATTTAATGTTGATGCAATTTACAGTATTGTACATGTCTGTCGCTTTTAACTAATTAACATTAAAAATTAGGGGAATTTGACACTTAGTACATGTAATGGTTAATAAAGTGAGATACATTAAACTTTGAGAAGGTTAATGGAAATACCCACTTAGTTCATCTCTAGGTTATAATGGCCAGACATTCTGGAGTTAGTTCATCTGAAAAACACAATTCGCTTCTCTAGCAGGTCAGTTTGATATTGTTATTTGCTTCTGCTGAGTGAACTCAAGGATCTGGTTATTTATTGTCTATAAATCAGAACTGAACCTCAGTGGATAGTTCTGTTAAAATTCTCCGCAAAGTGATATTTTCGATATAATATTTATAGCTTTCTTTCTCTTTGTATTGCGGTACCCTCCAGTGGCTTAGCGGTAACTCTGCGGACTTGCAACGCTAGAAACAGTTTCTATACTCGTGGTGGGCACAGCGCAGATAGCCCATTGTGTAGCTTTGTGCTTAACTACAAAAAAACAAATGTATTATGGTGTTTAAGAACCCATCTTGTCGACAGGTTATTTTGATGTTAAAGGAACTCGGTAATTGAAAGCTGCTTACGTTAAAAGAGTACTTGTCTATTGGATGATATCCTGCACGATAAAACCGAGAAATATACTTAGCACTCTAGAAATCTAACAAAAGATATATAAAAGTTAAAAATTAATACCTAACACCGTAATTTGTAGGCATTGGTTTTTTGGTTCAAGTAAACTTGAAACCACTTTTTTTTTCTATTTACTTTACAGTTCAAGTTGTGCAGGTTGGTAAAACATCGTGAGCATTTTTTTTCGATTTTTCATAAATACTTCGAATTCAACCATCCAATCTTCTAATAAAAAATGACACTCGTTTTTAACACTGGCCGCAATTGGTTAAACTGATATATGTAACAAAAAAGTACTTAAATAGTTCCAAAATTATAAAAAGAAACACGACAAACACTAACGTATCAGTATGTTACCATCACAATTTTGTCGGTTTTGACTTCTTTAAAACTGCACCGTTTGTAACATTGTTCAACTGATCGGTTGTCTTCTTATGTTCATTGTTTCGGTAATTTTCATTTGTCTCTCTTCAGTATGACGTTTTCCAGTCCAGCAAATGGAAATTCGAAGAACAGTGACAAAATAAAAGCTAATATAAAAGTGAAGACTAGGTTACCGAAGATCAGGTACATCTGAAAATAAGTAAACAGTTAACATGTTTTTCAATTACGCTTTCAAGCTTCTTCATAAATGTAAAGTTAATTATGTAAGAAAAATATTCGACTGAATTATTCACATGATCATAGTCTACTGTAAAGAAGAGTAATTAAGCACCCATTTATACATAGATGAATTCCAGTAATTTTATGTACAAAAGCGTTATGTAATTTGTTTATTATTAATGTCACCGAAAAACTATCCTGTATACTTCTCCATTGTAGTCAATTGACTGTTAAGAAACTAGGACAGTCAGTCTACCTTGGGATTAGTGCTTAAAAAACAACTATTCCACTAAAGTAGCACATTTCATATAGTTTAAAAAGTCATTTTCCTTTGTGTGATACTTGTACTACTTTACCCAAATAAACAGTCATTAGCTTTATGGTATTATTACCTGTAGTCACATGACTTTGACAGAACATTGTCATCTGGTGTCAGAAGTGTGAAAACAGTATTAAGATTAACCTATTCAATAATTAGAAGAAAAACAAATCAAATGAAGAAACTAATTCTGTCCCATAGATCTGTGGCACTGAAAAGCACTTCTTATTAACACTATTTAACAAAAAGCATTAGTATTGAAATGAATATTAAAATACATCAACGTTGTTGACAAGAATATGTAAATTTCCGTTGTTAAGTAATATTATTCTTCATTTTGTATATGAAATTTTTGTTCCTCAGAGATTTAAACATTTTTTTCTTGCCTTTTTTCCCGTAAAGCACTAATACATCCGCTAGATAACGTGTATTATCCTAAAAGTATTATTATTATTATTTAAAACTTGCTGGTCCAATGCTTTTATATTTATTTTATTATCTTGTGTGTGCAGGTATTGAAACAGACCAAATGATTTGTACTGTGAAGTAGACAAGCTAATATATATATATAAACATGTTTTCGAAGATTAGAGCTGTAACTGTTTTACCATAAAGCCGAAAGTTGCGTCAACTGTTAGTTCTTGTTCTCCATAAAGAGCTGCCATGGCAACGGGATGGATTAGATACGCAGAATATGTCAGGCGACTTAAAGGAACAAATCCTCTCCACGACAACAAAGTTGTGATAAAACCTGAATCATAGAAATAGAAACTGCTGTATAATAAGTTTAATTTCGGTAGTGCATATTGGTGTATAGAAGACATATTAATACTAGAAATAAACTAGCTTATAACACCAAAATGTTGTTTTTATTTAATTACACACTCAGCTTCTTCAGAAGCGTTCACTAAAACAGAAACCGAAACTTTGAGTGTCTAATTAAATAAAAACAACATTCTGGTGTTATATGGTCGTTTATTTCTAGAATTATAAATGTTGCTAAAACAAATCATCGATTTCTTAAGTGTTAACTACTTCTATGTACTTACAGAATATCGTTTAAGATATTTGAAAGTGTTATATACTCATGTTTCGGTCGTAATTTATTTACAGTTCAAACCTGAAACAAAGTTTTGATCAGTGTATAGTTAATAAATATTTTTATTGATTTTAACCAAAAATTACCCTCGCATTCGATATACATGTTCACACAAAACATGTAACGTATTATTAATTGTAACCTGAATATTCAAATATCGTTAGGTTATCTTCATTGGATATATAATACTTACAAGAAAAATAAACTATAAAAGTGATTTCATACCTCCATAACCTGCTGTACAGGCAAATGTCAGCCAGGCAAGCCCTATCGCCCAAGCTGTTCGTGCTAAAGCGCTGTACATAGCAGAAGCCAAGTTGTTTGGAAGCTGTCCTTCGTAAGCTGGCCACATCCCATAAAGAGCCAAGACACTACACAAAAATGCTAGGAACCAGCCGAGTATTACATACCTCTGTAAAAAGAAAGATAGGCTTTGGACCCAAACTGTGCATGTAAAGTTAAAAAATAAGTACTGTTTTTGTTTACTTTTTCTGATCAGTATTATGTTTCATATCGGTAGAAGAGAGGACAGTAATGTGGCTATATAGTATTTAATTCTTTAAGCCTACTTTGCAACTACTAGGATATTTATGGCTAAAATTCTTCTTTTAAAGAACTGTATATGGTGCTTTCTTTATTTCTTTTGCTTATATGTGAAAAAGTAAAAAATTGTTTATATATTTTTACACTTAAAACTTTATAATTATTATAAGTAATCGTTATTTGTTTACGTTATCCAATCGCTACTACATAACTTTAAAGAAAAATCAGTTAGTGTGTTATGTTGATTTATGCAAAGGAACTTGCGTTAGTTTATGTTTCCAAATAGGTATTGGCTAATATAAAGGAATGAGTATTGATTTACGTCATGAAATTAGTGTTAGTTTATAAGCATATGTATGCAGGGTGTCCGAAAAGTCTGGAATCATAGGTTAGTTGCAGCTTTTCTTAATTTAAGAATTATGGTGCTGTCACAGCATGAGAAGGTTGAGTTAATCCAAACTTGTTTCGAATTACAAGGACAGCATGTGGAACACATTCTATACAATTCGTTGAAGTGCCTATGGTTCTAGATTTTTCGGACACCTTGTATTATAACAATATTGTTGTTTACGTATATTTTATGTTACCCTCATAAATTTTGAAACATCAATAACTTATTTTGCGTGTCGAAGAATTGTGAGATATTAGTCTTACCAAAACTTAAATACACATGTTCAAGTCCATAAGTTTCAATACAAATATTAAACATTAGGTTAAATAGGCATGTAAATAAGTTTCTGACAGAAAAACAAGAGAGAATCCTCAATAGCCGCAGCACTTGAAATTCTTTTAGGTAGAATTAGAGTAAATTAATCTATGATACCTTTTTTTTTCATTTGTATTAGCTATATTTTTGTGCTCTAGCAATACCAAGTATAGGGCGCGCGAAAACCTATTCGATTTTATTCCTCCTCATAAATATTTTTAGGCAGGATTAGAATAAAATAATCTATGATACCTTGGGTGTGGTCAAATACATCAGTCGAAAGGGTTTGATGTCCTGAGTCCAAAACTGTAATTAGATCTCGAATCGTTCAAGAGATGATGGGGCTATGAGCTAAACATTTGTATTTGGAAAAACTCAGAGCCGTTCTATGAGCCGCTATGTTAGTAACAAACGACATCATCTTCTTCAGTGACGGAAACACGTCTTCAAATTAGTATTAACTCATTTTGAATTTAAAACCGTGCAGATATGTTTTAATGCAAATTTGATAGTATAAAAGATATTTACCTTTTTCAAGATCATTTTTCCTCCATTACAGTATAATATGTAACCCAGTGTCACCCCCACTAGGAAAGGACCCATTCTGCAATATGGTTTTATGTAAACCATTGAAGAGTAGTTGTTCATCACAGATTCAGGGCTAATAAAAAGAGAAGAAACGTTTAAAAACCACATAGTTATGTTTGTTTTTCAATTTCGCGCTAAGCTATACAAGGGCTATTTGCGCTAGCTGTCCCTAATTTAGTAGTGTAAGACTAGAGGGAAGACAGCTAGTTATCACCATCCACTGCCAACTATTTGGCTACTCTTTTACCAACGAATAGTGGAATTGACCGTCATATATAACGCCCCCGTGGCTGAAAGGGCGAGCATGTTTCGTGGAACTGGGATTCGAACCCACGACCCTCAGATTGCGAGTCGAGTGCCCTAACCACCTGGCCATGCCCGGCCACACAATTATGAGAAATAGTTTGATGAAAAATTCCAAAATTAAGTTATGGCTATCCAAAAATGAAACTGGAAGTTATCTATAGTGTTAATAAAAATCAGTACTTGAAACAAGTTTCAGTTTTGTTTTGTCAGATTGTTTCATTAACCAGTTTTGCATCACCAAGATGAGTGTCTAAAAGTTGATTTGTTAATTGTTTTAAAAAGAGACGCTTAAAATATCAAAGGACATTACATTTAATTATATATAAAATGTCTCAATATAAATAAACCTCTCGGAATTCCTATGATGATCATATAGATCATTCATATCGGGCCTTGTTGTAAATTAAAAGTTGACACTAACGTTGTGCAATGTACTATATTTCAGTTGAAGGGTGAATTTACTGGCGGTCATTCAAATAAAACCTTCATACGTTATGGCGCTTTCTTTTCGCATTTTGTTCGGTAAATACTAGTTTAAGTATTACGGAAAACGTAATAATATTATCATTAAAAGAAGGATAGAAAATCGTTATAGAAACACTGGTTCTGATAAGCAGTTTAACGAAATTCATTATCATCTTAAGTTTGACCTCTATTGTTGCATAAGCGGAGGAATCCATTATTTTACAGCAATATCATACAACTTGCAAGATATCTAGAATTAGGGAAGACACTCCAAAATAGCCTACAGATAAAAGTACGTCTAAGACTTGCAACTTACATGGCTTTGGTCAGTAAAGGAACAGGGGGTAAGTGTTGGGATCCTGTAATAACACCAGTTACCACTGAAGTCAACACAAAGAATCCTAGTAAAATCGGAAGTCCCCATCGTATATCCCTGTCGATAAAACATCGAACGTTAAAATTAACCTAATTGTAAACCAACCAAAAGTTAATATTCGGATTTCTAATTTAACGATGTGCAAAGTGAACTTGGTTAATTTATTTTATTTTTTCTACTCTATAAGAAAAAAAAAAGAATACAATCTCAACTTGTGAAAATCTGTTTTATTATTTCAAAGCAGTGATCTAATGAGAGTCTGAATTTTCCGTTTATTATCGAACCAGAAGGCTCTTTAAATGCGTAACATAGTAGGATTACTGCTGAAAAAGCGATGAGATAATAATAAGGATGGTTTCATCCGCGACACACGCTTGTTTTGCGATTCATGATTAATTTTTTACAAAAATTTAATGTTATGTTAAACATGTACAGTAAATTAACGTACCTGTACAATGGATAAATAATTATCAGCGACACAAGATAAAACTGAAAGTCCACAGCTGAATACCAAGAATGGCTCAAATATTTAATGTTAAACATGTACAGTAAATTAACGTACCTATATAATGGATAACTAATTAACGGCGACACGTACCTGTACAATGGATAAATAATTATCGGCGACACAAGGTAAAACTGAAAGTCCACAGCTGAATACCAAGAATGGCTCAAACACTAGAAAATATGAGGACAACATTGAAATCTTAGTTCAAGAAGGTGCTATAGTATGGTAGTTTTTGATGTAGTAAAAACTACATTATTAATATCGGCTTGACTGTAAATTCCTTACAAATTTTTAAAATGCATGACAAGTATACTACATTTCAGCGACACTTACTTAAATACACAAATGCTCAAAAATTAAAATACTGTAATATATTTACGAAATGGATATTTTAAAAGTTTTAAAACGATATATTCTTAGTTTTTCTCACCACAACTTAGTGAATCACTGGATAAACATTTTCCTTTAGCAATGCATATATCACACAACTACATCTCACCATGTTGCTAGTGTCAATAAAATTCTGAAGGTAGAGGGCGTTCAACCACCAATTTTTCCTGCACCAAGCATCATACATGATAATAGTATCAAGCCAAGCAGGACCTTCGAATACGTAACGTAGGATCACCGCAGAAAAAGCAATGAGAACCATCATCAAGGGTGTCATGCTGATAATTACATAAATTATATTAATAATTATTTCATATGCAATAAAGTATATTAAATATGCAAGGAAATTGTTGGAAGCATTATTTTGGAAGAAGTGAAGGTGAACACCCAAGGATAATGCTAACCAAATATCTATAAGTTGTTACTACTTAATGTTGAACATAGTTTGAGACTACTTTTAGTAAAACAAGGAAATGTAAATCACTGTATGATACATTAAGACAACTGACCTTCAGTATAAAGAATATATATAAAGCAATGATATTTTTTTAGTTGGAGACCTATTGGTCAGGATAAATTAACTGGTTGGTTGGTTGGTTGTTGTTGATCGGAAAGCTACACAATAAACAGTTTGTATTCTGCCCACCTCGAGTATCAAAACCTGAATTTTAGCGTCGTAAGCCTGTAGACTTACCCCTGAGCAGGTCATTTATGAAAGGTAAACCCAACTATAATTGAAATTTAATTACTGTAACTAAAGAATAGTGTAGAATACAAAAAATGGTTCAACAGAACTAAATAATAGTATAGAATACAAAAATGGTTCAACAGAACTAAAAAATAGTGTAGAATACAAAAATGGTTCAACAGATATGTAATGGGGAGAAATATTAAAGAACAATGAGAGATCTATGAAGAAATTACACAAATACTTCAAAATCATGTATTCGTACAGTTAGTAACTAACGATAAAAATGGCCATAAACATACAGAATATGTCTATTGTTTTTTAATAAAACATTTCTACAACTACTCCTTATCGGTATATTTTGTACTCGTTACAATAACTCTGACCAAGTCAGAAACCGAGTGTACCTTGAAAGTGATGATTTGTTACAGCAACATTCTGCTATGCTACTCTTCAGCCATTTGCCGGTATTTTCATTTGTCAGTTTTATGATAAAAAATAAGTGCTGATAACTAACTGCGCTTTATTTTAAAGTTTATATTAAGGAGCTTATAACAGGTTATTAACCCTAAAATGGGTTTTACGTCTTTCACTACCAGTAAGGTCCGCATATTACATCTTAATGGGTAATATTTATGTTTTTGTCTCGGTGTAAATAACTGGACAAAATAATTAAACGTAATTACTAATTTTCTAAGTAAATTATATAGGGGGACTCCAGCAATATTTAGAGAGATTAATTGCAATATTGTTTTTTTTTTTTACATTTTTCTGGGTAACTAATGTTGTTAATGGCTCTGAATCCAACGAAGGCATGGACCCGTAAGCAGTCTGATGTATAAACAGCTTCGAAATATTTGTTTAATAAACCCAATGGCCGTGCATATTGATAATTCTATGGTTAAATAAAATAATAACGTCCAATACACTTTAATTGCCGTTATGGTGATTTCCTGTTGTAGTTTATAACTCATCAATAAATCGTTTTTTGTCTAAGCAAACAAGAAAACGTGAAGGAAACAATAGAGCACAAATTGTGTTAATGATCTTAAGTACCTTTTGCGTTGGTTTTAAACTTAGTTTGTAGAACTACAAACATTTTATTTTTACGCTTGTTCTTTCGGTTTGATGAAGAGAAAACTAGTGTGAAACTAAAACCATCACATACCGCCAGTAACGATGAAAGTAAAATAGACCTAAGTGAAATTTTCCTTCTGATTTTTTCAATTTCTTTAATGTCAGGAACGTTACCAGGAAACCACTGTGGAAAAAAACAAACAAACCATATTTTACTGTGTAGAACACTGAAGGAAATAATTGCACCCTGAAAATACAAGTGTTATTACACAAACACTGCATATAAATGGTTTCCTTTGTTTTTTGTTTGTTTTCAGGATTTTGCGCAGAGCTATACAAGGGCTATCTTCCCACAGCCGTCCCTAATTTTAAACTGAATGACTAGAGGAAAGGCCACTAGTCAACAGTACTCAACGTCAACTTTTGGGTTATCCTTGTCTGATCGAATATAGTATTTGACTGTCACTTTTGTAATGTACCCATGACAACAGTTCGCAAATATTCCTGTTCACAGTCAGGGCACGTTAAAAACTGGTCATACCCGGTCCCTCTTCCTTTTTATTTCATCTCTACCCATCTCTACTGTGATTTTGAACTTTTATGATTGTCATGCGTTCTTAACTAATGTTCGAAGGCTGACTGAAATTTAATTATTTTTTTTATGAAGCCGGATCCTACAGATTTATTTAGCAATATAAATATTCTAAATTATTGGTTTAATAATTCAACCTTATTAATTTAGCAAAGAATAAACTAACAATATATAACAGTTAACATTTTAGTATTAAAAATACCAGCACAACTAGTACTAAAGACAATATTCCAACATTCACTTCGGCAGAACTTGATTCACAAACACTGCTATCAAAATTCATGCAGGTGGCGTTGAAGGTCATATTCATGCTGGTGTTTGCTAATACAGATTATTTTTAAGCAAAGTTTTACTTATCAACTAATAATATCAGATAACATAATATATTCAAATAATAATACGTTATCATAAAATCGTCTTTGACTTAATCTTTCACTGAGTAACTATTAAGAACGTTAACCACAATATCAACGGCTTTTCCTCTAGGTAAGGTAGTACACAAGGTACAGCACAGGTTTATAACCACACATCAGAAGTTGGTAACAATGGTGCAGCGCCCCTCCCGGCATTCGTAGCTGCTTGTAAATGCCACAGGCTACGTGCATATGCATTAAATTCCTCAACCTATGCTAGCTGCAATTCACCATATTTCATGGCAAAGAGAACGCAAACTAGTTCTTCGGTTACTCTTTTCGGATCTACCGAAGTATTAAACATGGTATCCAACCACTAGTGGAATCTCCTACCATATGGCTTGGCACTTCTTTAATAGAAATGGCTTTAACTCACACGTCGAGCAAGTAAATGATCAGATAGGGTCTCATCATGTGGCAAGACAATCTGTCGCCATTTCTTTGTTGTGTCACTTGCACAATCATCAAACAGTGACCTCAAATGTCTCTGTGTCCATTTTTTTGCTCTCAGATGTGGCATGACACAAGCAACACTAGTGATACCACCAGTTTCAAGTTACCTACACTTCACATACTGTACTAACATCCCATAATTTCAGAACAATACCCGGACTTTATACCCTCTCGGACATATAGCTGCTAATCCTGTCTGCATCCTGCATTTCTTTTGTTGACTATATCACTGTATTAAAAAGTGTCAATACACTAGCCCTTGTCTGCAGTAAACCATGGAACATCACTTAAGTAAAAAAATGTACTTGACTCCTTTCTGCAACATACACGCATACAGTCCACTATTCTTGGATCTGGTTTGGCCGGCATTGGATGACTTTCCCATGAAAATGTAGGTCATCTGTTGCACGGATAAAACAAACTAACAGACAGTTTATATGGTATATCTATCCCTGAAATAACAATGCTAGTACCAAGGTCAAAGGAGACTACCTTTATCCTGCGGTTGATATGACCAAGCTAAACATGTAGCAGAATTTCTCTAAATGTGGGTCACAATCCCAATGGGGGTCACGGAAGGTTTGAATGGGGATTGCAAGTACTTCAGAAAATATTTTACTTCTGTATGAAAATTACAGAAAAATAGCACAAAATAAATAAATTATAACATTTTTTTATAATGTATCACATTTTAATACATTTACAAATTATAATTTTTCTTGGTAGTGCAACATAAGTTAAAGTAGTAGAATCAAAAGAAAGATACAGAAACAGAACTACAACCATGACTAACAAGTCTACAACCTCGCTTGGAGAGACTATGCTCGCTAAAATAAAATAAAAAAGAAGCAATTTATTTACTGCTTGGGTGATGGTATCCTAGGATTACTTCCGCTCCCAGCAAAAACCTTGGATGGTAGTATCCTTATAAGTTAGCTTTTGGCACTTTCTGGGGGAATTATTAAGAATGGACTACTTGAGCTTAACGTGGTTCATATCCGGCAATAGGTGTTGCCATGGAAAATAGATAACGTCATGATCTTCAAGCCACCACTTTGTGACTCGGGATGAATGAGCAGGATCCTTATCTTTCATGAAAATTCTGCCTTGTCTAGTAGGCTGGTCAATGGACGTTTAGTTAGCATCAGAAAACAAGAGGGTGCGATAGCATTAGAAACCATGAAAGTGTAATATCATCTGTGATGTCCACTACAGTCGACATACGCTAATGTTTGGGTTATTTTGTGAGAAGTGGCTTCTATCTAGTTATTCTGCTATTGTAGCCAATGCTATGAAGATAACTTCTGATGGTATTGGGGCAATTTGCAGCTGTCCTTTTCCTCACGGCACGAAGAGTCCATTCTGTTGATTTTGGATGCTTAGACCGTGCAGAAAGTATTGTTTCTCTGACGTGGTTGAAAGTGCATTATCAGCCACTTCAACGTGGACAGCAATATTGCTAATAACCTAACTATGTTTTGTTGCCTCTGACCACCTTTCCATCCAGCAAGTAGGATTTCGTTGAACCATTACTAATACCAAGGATCATTACTAATTCTGTGATCGTTACCGGGTTATACCTATGTTTATATGACGAGGTTATTTGCATATGACGCCCTGAAGATAGTCGAATTAAAGTATCTATTTACTTAATGGTAGGCTGTGTATGTTAGCGCGTGCATGCTGATCACGTCCCCCATGGTGACATGACTCATCTATATATTTAAAGACGAAATGTGTGTCTGTTTGCACCATAACTCCACCAAGCATATTGGGCCAATCTCAACCAAATCACGTAATAAAAACGCTTGTGTGTGCTTTTAAAAAACGAAAGTAAAAAAAAGACCGGAATTTGATGAAACTACATTTCGTATAAAGCACTATGTAAAAAAAAGCATTAGTAAGTGGCGCCACAGTAGAAATATTGGATGCTGGATGCACAACCTTCAAATTGAATAAGGTTCCCTATTCTCGTCATGAGAAGAATATGTCTGTAATGTGATAAGAACTTCTGCAGGATCACATTGCAGTATTTCATGAACCATAACTCTAGAAACAAAGAAACGTTATTGTGACAAAATACAGCTCTTACCCTTAAAGAAAGCTTCGCTTATTTTTCACGAGAAATTGTCGTGTAGAGCTATAACAAAAAATTATTGTGCAATATAAAAAACAAACGATTTTACAAATTCTTGATCAGTTTCTACGTTTAATTCTAAAACTTACATTTGTGTTGTCGATGTTGTGGCATTCTTGTCTCATAGCTTTAAAAGAACAAAAAAAGCTCTTATATATACGTGTGTGTGTGTTGTGAAGGGCAATCTTTAGTCATAGAAAATGATTTCTAATTTTCCAACCTCTTCAGATGGTGTATTCTGACAAAGGGACGTTTTTTAATCGTTACTTGTAAGGTGAACTATTTTTACAAACCTTAGTCACTTAAGTTCGTGGTTACCTGAGAAAGAAAAACGTGTCCACAGACAAGGTTCCGTTCACTAATGGCTGGATCCAGAGCGATTGAGATACACTTCCAATGCCTATAGAACTTCCTTAATAATGATAACAATAAAGAAAAAAACAAGGGGCTTAACGTCTTACGTTATTGTAAAACAACCAACGAGAGCGTTTCGTTACTAGAAAATATTAAATGTGTTTTGCGGAAAACATGTTTTATTTTACTCAAATAACATTTTCTAAATTTTAAATAGAAATTTTAATATTTGACGTTCATACTTAATTAAAATTAATTTAGATCTATAAATTCATGATTCTAAGTATCATTACACTTATTATAAGAGCAAGTCATCATAACGCTTATATCTTTAGTTTTCCGATAATTACTCTCTAAAGATATTATTAAGGTGCATTATTTCTCTACGTACCCAACTTTCTATAGCTACAACTAAATTCAACTGTGTATCACAAGATGTTGCATAATTTAATTTATCTACTTACTAAAGAATAGCCAGCGAAGGGCAAAAGAGCAGGAATGTCCAGTGATAATCCAAAAAATAGTTAAAACCCGAATCCCATGCAACACATCAATAGACTCTTCTGATCTGGATGTGTTGAGCAGTTTTTGTGCGTTGCACTTCAACGATAATGCTGTCAGTACAAGTCTCACTTTATTTGTAGATCCTAATAGGATGGAATATGGAGATATATTAAACTTACACTAACTAACATGTACATTAAATCCCTTTCCACACTAACTAACAGGCTTACGTGTACATTTTATCCTTTTCCACACTAACTAACAAGCTTACATGTACATTAAATCCCCTTCCATACTAATTTAGCAGACTTACAAGTACATTATACCTCTTTCCACACTAACTTAGCAGGCTTATACGTACATAATACCCCTTACCCCATTAACTTAGCAGGCTTACGTGTAACTTTTCCCACTAACTTAACATGTATAAAAACTGAACATTATACCCCTTACAGTGGCAGAACAAGCAGTTCAGGGGCCCCGGGGAAAAGAGTGGTCGGAACCCCTTTTTTCAGAAGAAAAGACCAGAGCAGGCCCCCAGGTCATTGCTCCGTCTCACAATTTTGAAGACTTTCAAAGTATACATTGTTTCCCTTATTTTGCTACTTTTTAAGGGTTACAAGATGTAAGCTTTATCTCGCCATCCTGTAGGCTTACAAGGTGGATATAGTTAATCTTTTACTTCGATATTCTAGAAGGTGTTGTTTTTTCGACATTCTACAAAGTTATGAAGGAGGTTTATTTTTCATAGTTTAAAGGCGCAATAGGAATGTGTCCCTCTCCCTCGACAGCGGAGTTTAGAAACAGAGAAACATTATTATTATTATATATACTATATTACTAAAAATATTAAGCCGTCGCTACTCGAATGATATTTGGGCTAGACGTGGTCCAAAAGTGCAGAGCGTGATTTGTGTTTGTTTTGCGGTAACGGGCTGCAAACCACTGAACATCGGATTCATAATCCGGCACTTTAATCACTAGTTCACGCTCGGCCCACAAGATGAAGCGCATAACACCACCTCTTTATAGATAGCATTGTGTCATTCTGCACGTGCTATTGAGAAGGACCGTATTTCTTTCGGAATACCGCGTCCATTCAGCAACAGTTTAAAACAAATAATATCCGGAAAATAATTTGACCTGAATCCAACTGGACTGCTCTGAGAATGCTGCCTAAGGGAGAGAAAGGACAAATTTCACTACAGTGGGAGTTGTTTTATTATATTACGGACGGTTATTTTCTTCAAGAAAATATGTTCTTACATTTAGTAGCAAGTGTTAGTAAGAGATTCCACTTAGTAAAATTAGGGCTAGCCACGAGACATGACAGTCCCTTCTTTTCAAGGAGTTATGTCCAAATAGATTTGGTAATATTGTGTATACTCTCTCGTTCTATTGGCTTGCATGATGAGTGTCCTACTACACTCCTTTGTTCCCATGCCAAACATCAGCCTACATGCAGAAATAATAATAGGACATGAGACACATTTACCTGGATATTGTTTACTTTCACAGAGTACTTCAGAGGATGCGTTCATGTTTGGTACCATAACCTGTTTGTTTTTTGTAAAACAGAAGTTCGTTTCTTTGAACATCTTGAGAAATAGCTCATAGACCGTACCAATGATGACAAGACTGACGATGACGAGAAGAATTGCCCTACAAACAAATACACTGTACACTATAAAGTCTGTCAGTAAATGAATAACGTATATAAAAAAAAACAAAAAAACAACAAACTTATAACCATGGTCGTCCCTACTTGTCTTTCTTTATTCGATAATTTCTTATAGACTCACCTGGAATATACCATATGATCTAAAACACATTGTACGATACTGAGTCCACTATAATTACGTGTTGTCAAAATTATCCATTTAGTGTGAAAACATTACATGCGGTAATCTCATTCCCTTGCCAAGGTTGCTGATGTTCTCTTAATTGGTGTTTAGGTCTTATAGACCTGGGATTAGTCAGGTGCAAGTGACCTCTTCCTACCCCTGCTGGTAGATGGCAGCTGTTTCAGGTGAATACTAATTTAAATACTACATGAGGGTCAGAGTATCCCGTGGTTACCCTGACCCCTTTTTCAAGGTAATGTCCATGTAGGTACTTACACTTATATTCGTGTGAATACATACATTATCTCTATATGCAAAGTCCTGCACATCGAGAACAGTTCCACATGTATTTTTCACATACATTAATCAAGAAATTTACATAAATAATTTTTTAATGATGTCGTATCAGCTTAAAACTATAGTGGGTTTCTTAGTCTACCGTTAGGTGGCCGTATTAAATGCTTATTCTTAACATATATATATATATTAAATAATGAGAAGTACTTAGGGCTATCTTCATATATGCAGTAGCGATCTAATTCACATAGAAAATCATTTTTGGGCCAATTTTTCGCGAAATAATTTAGCGAATTATGTAGAAGTCTATGGGAGATAGTTTGTATACTTGCATAATTGTGCATAAATATTGATAAAGTATATCTGGGTAGCTTGTATGCAGTTGTGAGTAACGAAAGGTTGACACCCGTGATAGTGCTTTTGAAGATCCCACCCCCAGTAGTTCAGATGTACGTTTGAAGGCTTATAACACTAAAACACGGGGTTCTATGCTCGAGGTAGGCACATCATAGACAATCCATTATGTAGTTTTGTGCTTAAAAACAAACAAGCAAAAGCGCTGTTAAAACCTACACTACGTATAAACATAAATTTCGTTTTCTTCTGAACAATCCGTTTATTTTAGAGCAAAGCCATATTGGGCTATCTGCTGTATCAACCGCAAGGAATCAAAACCTGAATTTTAGCGTGTAAGTCCATATATTTACCGTTGTTTCACCGGCATCTCTTCTGAACAAAAGTGCTGTAACCTCACGTATTGCAATTTTACACCGTTTCCTTATCTCTATACCAAACTAAAGGTTTAGAATTACAGTATTCAATTGTAGATAACGTTTCAAAATCAGATGAATACTTTCTCGACCTTCTTTACTATCATGCAAAGTTGTTTTATCTTCCGATTAGTAACAATATTTTCACAAAACGAATGAAAAATTCTGATATTTTGTATCGGGGATTTTTTATTTTTTTATTTGTTTTACATAATCTACTTCGTTTGTTGTTATATTTTTAGCATTTTGAACGTTTTTAATAATAACTTCAAATAGATATGTTTTTCAGAGATTTTGTGAAAGAGTTTGATACCTTGTTCACTTGTGTCGTATGTGTTAACACTAACTCTGGCTGTGCTTGATTTTCAAAATTTGTATTTTGTAATTATTATCATTTTGACGTGATGACTTACACAGTAAGATTCTGTATACCAGTCTACAAAGCTCTAGATGAATACAGTCACCCTCACAAACAAAACCACTTGGAAAACTGCAGTTAGCTCTCTACACACCGTATTTTTCGGTGTATAAGACGCACTTTTTTACCCCAAAATTTAATGTCAAAATCTGGTTGCATCCTGTACACCGAAGGTATGAATAATATATATATGTATATATACGATATACACAAGCCATGTGTAAATATATTTAAATAGGCATGCATAGTTTAGTTTAATTGAATGTGTTATTTATAACAATAGTAGTTTTTGTTTTCTTTTAAAAACGTAACTATTTATAATACTCCCTAAATAATAAAAAAATAAAACAGTGAAAGCAATGAAGATTTTTGTAGGTTTTGAACCAAACTAAATAACAGTAAACTTTTTTTTTGATTTACGGTGTTTTCTTATTTTGATGTTTTGAGCTCTTTTGTGTTTAGAACAATATATACTAATTTTATCAAACTGAATTTTCGTTCAATAAAAATCTTTCAAATGCGACTGTGGCTTTTTTTCCCCAAAACTTTGTCTTCAAAATAAGGATGCGTCTTATATTCTGAAAAATACGGTATATCAACCCGTTAGGCTTAACATTGGCCAATCAACTACTTCAAACTCACTCTGCAAAAACATCATAGGTCAATTATGGAACGAAATACAAACAGCTATGTTCACTTTTTAAACTTACATTATAAATACTGTCATAGCTTTGAAATGACAGTTTGGTGAATTGCTTATTCTAAAACAAGAACCGCTGTTATCAGTACACGTACCGATATCCCACAACTAGAATGCCTGACCCCTACTTCGGATGAAAGAAAGTACACCTTGAACGTTCCATGAGACACGCATATTACACGTACACTCACAGGCGCTGCACTCGCAAAGTACGTACACGCCGATGGGGGAGATCCATTATGAACATGGGTAGAACAACCGTTCATAAATCATAGCCCCAGTTATGGGTTCAAGTATGTTACAAATATTGATTAGCTTATCATTAAGGGCACAAGATTCAAAAATGAAAGTATGACGCCGAAACGTAACTATTACCTATGTAAAACAGGATTATAATTAAAAAGTAAATAAAAAAATCCTCAAGTGTGTTTTACAAAAACGTCACAGACCAATGGCCAAGCTTAACTAGAAATAAACTAAACATTTTAACAACTGCGGGTTTAATACTCATGTTTTGACCTTCTTCACTATATCTTAAATATATTTATTAAATTCAAATTCATAACTATTTCTTGGAGCTTATGAATGAAAATAAGGAAGAATGTATAACTTTATGTCAACTACACTGTATCTGCTATAATCAGTACCAAAAAGACCTTTCGCCTAATACCAGGTTTCATCAGACCTGCTGGGAAATGACATACATAACAATAATTGAGAAAACTTACATTCACAATCCCCATTGATGTTCATTCACAACCCTACTTAAATAATAAAAAAACTATTGACAGTATTAGGCAACTGCTGTCACGATTTATGTCAAATGACAAACTTTTCACCTTAGAAATGTCAGACCAAGATGGAAAAAAAAAATTCATTTGCCTCTCTCTCCTACTCAGTGTTATCTAATTCGCAGTTTACAAATGCAGTTATATTCTATTACTAGAATAAGAAACATGAGATGATACACACATTTTTTTTCACTTTTTTTTACAAGTCATATAGAATGAGAGCTAAATCGACTGTGCTGAAAAAATAAAATCAATATCACAAGATTGAGGGTTTTCTTGTGAACATTAACTTTCCACCTAAAAATAACCAATAATCATAAGTTCGCATGCAACAGGCACCGTAAGTCTTACCAATAACACACCCCTTCCCGTTCAAGCTAAGAAATCGCTCTAAGCTTCCCTAACAGAAGCGTTGCTAGGCGATGGCACAAGGGACCCGTGCCCCGAATCTCAATTGAGTAACACTACTGTTCTGCTCATATGCATTAAACAACCACATTCTATATTGTTAAAACATTTTACTGCGAAATCACAGTCTATTTCTGCATTCAAGGAAATGCACTAATAGACACATATAACGAATTTGTTGTTATGTATTTATTTTACACAGATTAGATTAAGTTTAGATTAAGTTTATATTTCAAAACTCGCATAGCTTATGGTGTTAAATATGTATTGCGAAACTACCACCTATTCTCCAAAGTTGTAAAGATTCTCGAGAGAGAGAATCAACAATATACGTATATACTTAAACTTTTGTATGTAGCTCAGTATTGTTACCTAAGACTGAATTTTCTAGAAAACTTTCCCAAGGTTATAAATATAACCAACACGACGCGCCAAGTAGTGTCTAATAGTAGTTCGCTATAAACGTCGAAAGCTATAACTGTAATTGTTATAACGCTTATCAATCGGAAAGATTAAAATATTTGACCAGGAATCTTTACAAAGTTCGAACATTACAAACTATTTAACTTCAGTGGATTCTCATAGGACATTAGTATTTTTACGAAAACCTTACATAAATTCACCACAAAAGACTCGGCGCGCGTGACCAGTGAATAACGAATGACAAAGCTAGCTAGCTTCCCGGCGAATCGTACCTACATCAACTCGTAATTAACTCGCTCATTGTAAACCCTCGATAAGATATCAA